ATTATTATTATTATTATTATTATTTTAACCTAAGGGGATGGAAACATGCAATGCAAGTGATACTCTTGGCGGGACATAATTTTTGGTACTACAATAGATTTTTTATTTTATTAATTTGTACTATATTTCTCTTTTTTTTATTTGTTAAATTAATGAACCTCCTTACACGCTATTAATGTGCTTATAGGAAATTATTTCAGAGAAGATATTATTCTTAGTAGAAACAAAAAATCATTTTATCTTATTTTTTATAGAAAAAACGATATTTCATTAGAATAACTTTAAGCAATATTGCCGTTTGGTATGTTTAAAGATTGATGCAAATTTACTACTATGCCTTTGAGCTTTAAACTAAATATCAAAGTTCTTTATTTTTTAACAAATGATATTATGTACACGCGATATTATCTACACTAAGGGGTGGAGGAGTAGGTTAAATCTTACAATGAACTAGCATAATGTGGTTCAAATTCGTCTTTGGCGAGAATTGAACCTAAGACCTCTCAGTTACAAGTGAAGAAGAATTCTACTAAACCGCAATACTAAGTGGCAAAAAGATCCTTATTAAATAAAGGAAAACTTGAGGTTTTATCATCTTTAGTTCCGTTAATATATACTAAAGATATAAAATTTAGACTAAATTGCAACAAATTAAAAGAGTACAAAGTTTAAAACATAGAATTTTAGACCATCTTCAAAGAATTCAAAGAAGATGTCAAATTTAAAACATAAAATTTATCTTTAAGGGAAATGCAAAATTTTAAACATAAAGTTTAAATTTGAAGGCTTGACACTTTGATCTTTTTTAAAATTTTGTTCTCCACCTGATATGTCAAATTTAGATTATTATTTATTCCATTATTTATTATTTATAATTGTAATAAGTATTTGTTTTTTTTTTTTTAACAGACGATATTATCTACAGTAAAGGGGAAATTGTGGGCTTAGCCTCTCAATGGGCTAACAATAATGTGGTTGTTCAAATTCACCTTTGGTGAGAATTGAACCTAAGACCTCTCACTTACATGAGAAGAAGAATATCACTAGACTATAGTATTTTTAGAGCAAAAATAACAATAAAAATGGTAAAAATCACTAAAAATAGATTTGAAGTTGCTGTCAAAACTAATTTGACAGCAACCACCTTTGAGGACAATCCACGTTATGCCACATAGGAATTGGCATTTTGGTTAGAAATCTCTGATGCTGTCTTTTTTTACTGTTATGGCAGATATTTTGACTCCTCATTTGGAGATGCTCTTAATTTACTCTCAGTGAAAACCAAGATTTCCCTACTAATCGACCCTTTGGTATGACTTAAGGTTAGTAGCAACCCTTCTCTCCTTTCTCCTAATTCCTCTTTTCCCTTCCCTTGCATCACTCACTCTTCTTCCTTTCACTTTCTACCCCTTTGCTTCTCCCCACATCTTACCTCCCCCCTCTCCCCTCTCCGCTTTCCTCATTTTTTTTTCTTGTTGTCACCTTTCTTTGCTGCAACCTTGCTATCTTCTTCACGACATTGATGAAGTCTCCTTCCTAAAGCCAAGCTATGCCTTATTCTTAAGGTTTTGTACCTTGATTTTGGATAGATTTTTAGGGTTGGATTTGTGGTTGTTGGTGGGTCAGATCCATTGCATACAACTTAGTTTCCATGGTTGAGCTTACTTACATGGCGACTCCGCCTTGCTTATCTCGCAATCACTTTAGATCTTTCTAGAAGTGGTGAAGTTGTTGGTGGTCTTGCCAATGTGTCCTAATCTTGACTATGGAGATGAGGGAACTGGTGAATTTTCGTCTTGGACTAGTTTAAGTTATTTGTTAAATTATATGTTGTTGTCCCACTTTGCAAATGATATGGCCTCACTTTTTAACAATTTGGCTTGTCTATGAGGTATGTTGTGGTTACATTCTTTTAGGTTATTTCTCCATACCAAAATGCCTCATACTTCACAACTTTCTTTGTATTCCGCATGTTAAGGATGGTCCTTTAAACACATGGGTAAACCTCTTAATGATAATTTTGATATAGTAAATTTTGTTTCATTACTTCATCAATCCAATCTAAGTATAATAACTCAATGGATTTTGTCAATATAGGTCGATCACCCACGTGTACATTGTAAGGAGTAACCAATCTAAAGGTTACTCTCTTGACAAGTGTCATAAGATCAGACAATTAGTTAAGAATTTGTTAAACAGTTGCTTATCCTGTAAACTACCTTGGTTACATAGAAATACTACAATGTTAATGTACTCAGTTAGTTAGTGAAAATATATAACTTATTCTCTAAGATCTCTCTAGTTCTGTATTCTCTACTATGTTCATCTTCTCTGCTGCATAAGATCAATCTTGGTTAACATGGTATCAATCGCCATTTAAGCTTCATCAACTTCCTCACTGGTACACGCGTAAAGGCTTGATGGCTCGTCGGTCTTGGTTTCTTTGCTTCCGCTACTACAATATTCTTGAGTTGAATTATTGTTCTTCGATCACAGGTTCTTTCTTTTTGATTTAGGGTTCTTCATCTCTAATTATGGGACTTTTGTTTTTCTTCGATTCTGGTTGTGCACACCACGTGTTTGTATTTTGGTCTTTGTACATCATTTTCTTGAAGTTCAACAATGGTGACCGCCACTCAGTTATAGATATTGCAGTCTCCTATTACTTCCCTAATTTCATCGGTTTTGACCTTTGTAACCATGATATTGGATGACACCAATTACTTGACTTGGCATTTCCAAATGCAGCTATTGGAAGGCCATGGAATTATGAGGTTTATCGATGGATCTACACCATGTCCATCTAGGTTTCTTGCTCCCAATTCTTGGGATTAAGAGATTTATTCTATGTAACCATCTGATCAGTCTCTTGCTTGCAAGGAATCAAATGAATACTTGGTTTGGATGATGCATGATAGAGCATTGATGCAGCTTATCACAACTTCTTTATATCCAACAGCAATTTCTTATGCAATTGGAAGTACAAGTGCTCATGACCTGTGGATTCGACTCAAAGAATAGTTTTCTACTGTTACTCGAACAAGTATATTTCAAATGAAATATGAGTTGCAAACTATCAAGAAAGGTACTGATTCTATTAATGTGTATTTTCAAAGAATTAAAGAAGCTAGGGATTATTTGTCTGCTGCTAGTGTTTACTTTGAGGATGATGATATTGTGATCCTTACACTTAATGAACTACCATCTGAGTATAATACAATCAGGTTTGTGATAAGGGGGCGTGAATCTGTTATTTCTCTGAAAGATCTTCAGTCACAATTACTTGTTGAAGAAGTAATGATTGAGACTCTCAATAATGCTCCAATATGTACTGCATTAATGGCCTAATCTCCTGGTTTTCCTAAAAAAAAAACCCTTAAATTTTCAACCTCAAACTCAATCTAGTAGGGCATACAATTCATATAACTCCAACTCTGGCTACAAATCTTTCAACAATAAGAATAAGGGCAGATTCAATTCGAATAACATGTTCAATAACTCAAAACCATTCTTCAACATTGTAGTATTTATATGTAACTAAGGTAGCTTACATGATAAGCAACAGTTTAACAAATTCTTAACTAATTGTCTAATCTTATGACACCTGTCAAGAGAGTAACCCTTATATTTTACTTTCTTAACAGGTGTCATAAGATTAGACAATTGGTTACAATTTCTGCAAGTTTCCATTTCTAGTACACCTACCCTATATTGTGATAACCTCTCTGCCATTGCTCTTACATGTAATCATGTCTAACATCAGCTCACAAAACATATTAAAATCGATGTTCATTTTGTGAGGGAATGGGTGGCTAAACAAGTGTTGTTGGTTCAATTTGTTTCTTCACTCGAGCAATTTGCTGACATATTAACTAAAGGGTTGTCTAAACCTTTGTTCATGACTCATTGTGACAGTCTCAAACTCAGTTTTACTGTTCCTGAGCTTGAGGGAGGATGTAAGGAGTAACCAATCTAAGGGTTACTCTCTTAACAGGTGTCACAAGATTAGACAATTAGTTAAGAATTTGTTAAACAGTTGCTTATCCTGCAAGCTACCTTGGATACATATAAATACTACAATGTTGATGTACTTAGTCAAAATATCAATACAAACAAGATAACTTCTTCTCTAAGATTTCTCTCTCTCTCTCTCTCTATTTCTTTCTCTCTCTAAGCTTTCTCTCTCTGATTCTGTATTCTCTGCTGTGTTCATCTTCTTTGTTGCATAAGATCAATCTTGGTTAACAGACATGTGTGACTGGAATTTACGTTATTGTCAATTGCCTTGCATATCCGAACTTCCGAACGCCCATGACTAATGCTAACAATCTCATATCTAATCAGTACTTTTTCACATCAAACATGCTCATACCTCTTTTAAGTACATGAAAAATCATTGAGTGGCTTGCTATAGTCTTAATCATCGAGGTGTATCTTTTTGGGACGATGTCGGTCCTCCATGGTTAATGTGTTATCTCCGATGATTGTTTTGTTTCTAGCATGGATAGCTCTTTTTCCATGTGGTTTACCAGGACGAGGATATTTTAGAGCCTTTCACATTCTTTTCCAAGCTCTCTTTGTATTAATCCATTTGGTCTATTATGAATGAAATCCTTTAATACCTTAAAAAAAGTACATGAGAAATCAAGAACTATAGAATTATTCCCAGCATGGAAAAACCATTACACCAATAACCAAGATCACCAACCACTTGCAATTCGTTAACCTAGTTAAAAATTGTATTCTCTTGTTCATCAGGGATTTTGATTTTATTCATAGGAAAAGTAAGCACGGTTGGAGAAGATTCGAATATAAATTTATACAAGATTTAACGGGAGGTAAAAATTCAAATGCTAGGCACTAGCAAATAGATTTGGGAGAAAAAATAAAAAAAGAGTTTGGTAGCCGTCATCTATTGCACCATACACTTCCTAGCGGAAAATTAAACACCCAAAGAACTGCTCTCTCTATATATCTTTATCTCTCTCATAGCAATTACACCTTTCTCTCCCACCATTAAATGCAATTGCATCCTCTCAATACGCTCTGCAATTACTCCTCGCTGCCATACTTTTCTCCCTCTGCCCCCTTTTCTCCTTGCTTGCCTTTCTCTCTTTCCTAAAACCACTTCCCTTTCTTCTTCCTCATCTTCTTCTCCTTTTTCTTCACCTTCTCTAACTTCCAAAACTATTTACTACTCCAAAGTCCATACCATATATATATAAACTCTTATACACCAAAATCCGTACGCCGGAAAACCACTCTTGGGTCACCAAACAGTGGCTTCCCGGCACCAGGTTAAAGCCCAAAGCTAGATCTACAACGCTTCGCTCTCTAGGGCTTTTGATCAGGTGCACACAGACAACATCATACGTCCTGGTAACATATTATTCCACCCTAGATTTTTGCATGCTCTAAACTTTTCATTTTTTGTCCGACAAGCTTCTGTATTCTCAGTACTAGTAACGCTTCTGACAATTTTTGTTTTTTGAGTTTTTTTTTTTTTTAAACATTTTTTTTGGCATTTTGCGTTGGTGCAGCTAGGGTAAGACCAGAAAACATAAGGAGAAACTTGGGTGTTACAGTGGGTTTATGTATTTGGTTTAGACCGATTTTTTCTGTCAAAACTCAAAAGCCGTACTAAAATTGTCAACCCCTTAATATTATAATCTCTTCATATACTCACACTCTCCATTTCATCAAGTACAAAACGAAAGTATGTTTGTCAGCTCTATGTCCCTTTGTTTCCCCCGCTTCAAATAACCTCATCCTCTACATTTACGTGGGAAATTAATCCATACAAATTGCAAGTTCAGGTTAATTTGGGCGGTTTTAAGTCTTGAAATATCCCGGCCGGGCTTATGATTCCGGCAAGAAACATGCCTTCGATGATCGGAAGCAATGGGAACATTAACGGGTTTGCATCATCTTCAGGACTCACACTTGGTCAGGTCAGTGTGCTTAATTCAAGTTTTGTTTTCTAATTGGTATACTAATTTACACATCTACGCCTTCGCTTTGCAAGGCTAATTAGATCTAATTCTTTTTCCCTGGAGCTAAGTTATCTAAAGCTTTCTGAACCAAGAAAAAAATTATGAGAACTTTAACGAAAAGTTCCGGTACTGTTTATTTTACCGAAAAATCATATTTTTATACTAAAAAGTCAATTCTAGTACCATTCACTTTACCCTTTATTTTGTTCTTATCGTTAAAACTCAAAGTTTTCAAATCATTTTCATTAATTTTCTAAAATTTATATATAGGCTTTGTCAATCGGTACGTCTGGATCCATTTTTCTAATATATTTTCTTTTATCTAATTTTCTTTTCTTCTCCCACTTCATCTCGGTATTTTAATATTTTAATTAATTAATTTTTTACCGTAAGACGGGTTTGACTACTCAGGTAGTCCAAAATTTCAATTTTGTGGCAAAATCCTTCTCGGTTTTAGAAAAAAGTTGGAATGGTTTTCACCACAAAGACAAGCACAGAGATTTAAGTTCAATGCATTTTCTTGTTCATTTTTTTTTCAAATAGTATTTTAGTATTTTGACCCGATATTTATGTGCTAGCTCCATATATTTTCTTATAATATACATATGTAGACGTTTGTCAAAAGCTAAATATAACGCAGTAAGAGTGTGCAGGTGTAATGTAATTTTTTCTTTCCTTTTGAGTGGGTACATTTTTCCATTCTGTTGTTTTGATTGAAAAACCATAAAGCCTTCTAATCCCTTGGGACTAAAATCAAAATCTTAAAGATCTCTGGATATGTTCCAGCCAAACATGATGGAAGCCGGTCATCTGCACCCGTTAGACATGGCTACAAACACCTCTGAAAGCGACATTGCTCGGTTCCGAGATGATGACTTCGACAGTGCTACCAAATCCGGCAGCGACAACCCTGAAGGCGGTTCTGGTGACGACCAAGAAAACCCTCGACCCAAAAAGAAGCGTTATCACCGCCACACACAGCATCAGATCCAAGAAATGGAAGCGTAAGTAATATTTATTAATTAGTCTCAAACCTCCTGAACAAGCTCTTGTTAATGAGTTGTTCAAAAGTTTATAGTTCACCTTTGAATTAAATTTTTTTGGATGTTTTATTTAGTTTTTTCAAGGAATGTCCCCACCCAGATGACAAGCAAAGGAAGGAACTGAGCCGGGAATTAGGTTTGGAACCATTACAAGTCAAATTTTGGTTTCAAAACAAGCGCACCCAAATGAAGGTATATATTTGTTCATTACATGTCTTCAATAAGGGTTTTAGAATACTCAAACTTATGTCATTTTTTTTAAAGTTTTGCTTTTGTTAAAGCTACTAATTGGCTGCTTTTGATTTGTTGTTAAAAATCTATTACAGACTCAGCATGAGCGGCATGAGAACACACAACTTCGGAACGAAAACGAAAAGCTCCGTGCTGATAACATGAGGTACAGAGAAGCGCTAGGTAATGCCTCATGCCCTAATTGTGGCGGCCCAACAGCTCTAGGAGAGATGTCATTCGACGAACACCATCTGAGACTTGAGAATGCTCGATTACGAGAAGAGGTAGAGAAAACTAAAGATCAAGATAATATCAAACACATTTATTATTTGGTGGATATTTTACCTGTTTTGGTACAACAAATTAGGATGAATGTTACATATATGTTCCAGATTCATAGTACGTGATATGTCCCCCAGATTGATGACTTATTTCCTTTATTGTTCAGATCGATCGTATATCTGCGATAGCTGCGAAGTACGTTGGCAAACCGTTAGGAAACTACCCTCTCATGTCTTCTCCTGTTCCTTCCCGTGGTCCACTTGATCTTGGGGTTGGGAGCTTTGGTGGTCAGCCAGGCATGGGCGGTGAGATTTATGGTGCTGGAGACCTTCTCAGGTCAATCAGTGCACCAAGTGAGGCAGACAAGCCAATGATAATTGAGCTTGCTGTTGCAGCTATGGAGGAACTCGTCAGAATGGCCCAAATGGGTGAACCCTTGTGGATGACCAGCCTTGATGGCAGCGCGACCGTACTTAATGAAGATGAGTACATAAGAACATTCCCTCGTGGAGTCGGGCCAAAACAAAATGGCTTCAAAACTGAAGCTTCGCGTGAGAGTGCAGTTGTTATCATGAACCACATTAACCTTGTTGAGATTCTCATGGATGTGGTAAGCTTAATTAACAACTTTATTACACATTTACATATGTCTTTATAAGTGTATATCATTGTACATATTAAAAAACAATAATATTAATAACGCCTTTGAATTAAGGAATCTCATGAACCCTAATTATTATTTGTTCGGATTTTGTAACGTGTAGAATCAGTGGTCGACTGTATTTTCTGGCATTGTGTCAAGAGCTTTGACCCTTGAAGTCCTATCAACTGGCGTGGCTGGAAATTACAATGGAGCCTTGCAAGTGGTATGTATATTTTCGCCTCAAAGTTCAACTTCAGCTCTCCTTATTAGTCATCCATTGTCTAGATATTGTGATACACATATTCTTGTATTAAAATCTTGTTTGTGATTTGGTAGATGACGGCAGAATTCCAGGTTCCTTCACCACTTGTTCCAACTCGTGAGAGTTATTATGTGAGGTACTGCAAACAGCATGCTGATGGCACCTGGGCTGTAGTCGATGTTTCCTTGGACAACTTGCGCCCTAATCCTGCACCCAGATCTTGTCAAAGAATGCCCTCAGGATGCCTAATTCAAGAAATGCCAAATGGGTATTCAAAGGTATATATATATATTTTTTTTGAACAAAAAAGGTATATAATTAAACACGCTAGCTATATATACATATACGTACATATCATGTATGTTTCACTTTCATATGATATTTTGAGGCCCAATTTTTACGGCACATAGATTTCATCTAATGATAAGTTTTGCTGCATTAGGTTACATGGGTTGAGCATGCTGAAGTGGATGAAAGAGGTGTTCACAACCTCTACAAGCAGCTGGTTAGCTCCGGCCACGCATTTGGCGCTAAACGATGGGTTGCCACCTTGGACAGGCAATGCGAACGTCTGGCTAGTGCAATGGCATCAAACATCCCTACTGGTGATGTTGGAGGTAATAAAAATCTAGTTTGCTATTTTATAATTCTTTTTGTAATATTTGTATGGAATTATATTTGGCGCGAATTCTTCATATGGGGCTATCGTGCTACATTGTAGTATTCACTATAACATGATAGTACGTTAAATATGTTAAAAGATTGCGTGTGTCTAAAGTGACATATCCCGTTAATATGCATGTCATTAAGCCTAATTCTTTTTTAAATAAATTTATTAACCATAATTGTTTATATTTGTTAAATTCATGGTTAATTAGTGATTACAAATCAAGAAGGGAGAAGAAGCATGCTAAAATTGGCTGAAAGAATGGTGATTAGCTTCTGTGCTGGAGTGAGTGCATCAACCACTCACACATGGACCACACTGTCTGGAACCGGGGCTGATGATGTCCGGGTGATGACCCGAAAGAGTGTCGATGATCCCGGAAGGCCTCCAGGTATTGTGCTCAGTGCCGCCACATCTTTCTGGCTGCCAGTTCCTCCCAAAAGAGTCTTTGAGTTTCTCCGCGATGAGAACTCTCGCAGCGAGGTACATACACTTAACTACTCTTCAAATTTAATTATTTGTCCTCCGACTCTCAGAATACATTTACCAAATCTAATACTGGAACCAAATTAATGCACATACATTTTGCAAAAGCCTGAGAAACAAGTACATGAACTATTACTAAAACATACCATAAACGGAAAAGCATACATAGAGACCATTTGCACACGAAGGAATTTCTATGGAAAACGAAAACTATATATTTTCTGATCCCACCTAATATTGAAACATTTTGTATCAACCTCAGGAGAAAAAAGGAAAAGGAAAAGAAAACACAGATGGCAGTTTGGCTTTTACAAAGAATTAGCTAAACTGAAAGCATATATTTATTCGCCTTAAATTGTTCTAATTGATTAATTGTGATGATCACTTATGCGTGCAGTGGGATATTCTTTCCAATGGGGGAATTGTTCAAGAGATGGCACACATCGCTAATGGTCGTGACACTGGAAATTGCGTGTCTCTACTAAGAGTAAATGTAGCTTTATCTTTTATAACAATAGTAATTATTATAACAAAATAATAGTTGTTGACAAAGAACTTAAATTAAGTTGTAAAACTGGTTTTTTCACATAACAATTGACAATGTAACTTAAATTAATTTGTAGAGTGCTAATTCAAGCCAGAGCAACATGCTGATACTGCAAGAGAGCTTCTCTGACCCAACAGCTTCCTTTGTGATTTATGCACCAGTTGACATTGTTTCCATGAATGTGGTGCTGAATGGGAGTGACCCTGACTATGTTGCCCTTCTTCCTTCTGGGTTTGCTATACTCCCGGATGGAGCCGGCATTGGAGACTCTGGCTCTGGTGGTGGTTCCCTTCTCACTGTTGCTTTTCAGATCTTGGTTGATTCAGTCCCCACTGCTAAGCTGTCTCTCGGATCAGTTGCAACAGTTAACAATCTTATTGCTTGCACTGTTGAGAGGATCAAAGCTGCATTGTCATGCGACAATGTGTGAACTTCATGACTCAGTTAATTTCTAGGTAAACTAATTATACATGTCACGTATTACAAATTAATTACATGTCACATATTTGATGTGTAATATTCGTCAAATAATCGTTTGCCTTTAGTTTGTTGCAGTATTAGGACGAGGAAGAAAGATGAACGGACAGAGACACCGATGGTGGCAAGGAATTTCGGCAGCTTATACCCAGGAGGGGAGAAGTCAAGATCGCACCCTACATGATCTTTTTGTATAATCTATAAAGAGATTAGGGGTTCGGGTATTGACTTCCTCGAACAATGTGAAAGGCAGATTAAGCGCTTCAGAAATTATTAATTTTTAAGTTTTGTGTTTATTGAACTTTCTCCTTTTCCACCTTCTTTAACCTTGTACACAGGATTAGGGTTTTGGAATGGATATTGTTTTTCTTTATGGTCAATCGTTCAGGGTTTCTTTTTTTTAAAGTATGGTTTTATTTTAAGATTTTTTTTAAGTAATTTGTGTTGATTGATTGTGGATTGTTTGCCTGTGTTGGTATTACGCGGCTTTTGATTTAAGCTGTTTATTACGACGAAATTACACAATGTATCAATGTATGAGATACAACGTTGCATTGGACAACTTCAATTTGGCTGCTCAAACACTAGTGCATTCGCTAATGTAGAAAAACCAGTATTACAAATCCAAAGGTATTCGACCAAATGCATTGTATGATACCTGAAATACAAGCTGTTAATTAAAATCCAGCCCTTGATTAATTAGTTCATGTGGAGGACGGTAGGGGAGTTGGAATTAGGATAGGTCAAGATGACTTAGATGAGCGAGGAAGCTTAATCTTAGTTGGGAGGAAATTATCTCAAATTGGACAATTTTTTTTTTTTTTTTGAACAAAAAAAAAAAAAAAAGGGTTAAACTGTAATATTATATGAATAAATTAGGTTATCGAATGATTCCATGTACCACCGATTCTTCAAGTTGCGAAGATGTATACTCTATATGTAACTTTTGATTTATTAGGGATGAGATTCTCTCCCCTTCCTTTTTCCCTTCTCTCCCTTTCCTCCTTTTATAGTTTTTTTTTTTTTTTTTTTTTTGGTTCCCTCTCTTTATTTTATTTTTTTTTACAAAGAAGAAATCTTCAGCGTTCAAATATGAGAGGTTGGAAGGAGAGAAATAAAAAAAAAAAAAAAAAGAAAGAAGAGGAGAGAATCCTTGTCCATTTATTATCAAACAATCAATTAAGAATTATTAATCAAATGAGCACAGATCATGTTTAAATGTATGATTCTAGTTGACTGATAAATGTCTAACAACATTTGGATCACTTAACCAGAATTCTTTGTGATTTTTCCAGTCGATTTTAATTTAGGCATTGCATCAACAGATTAGATTATTCCATTATTTAGTTACACATTTTGAGCATGTAGCAACGTAATCTTTAAAGAGCATTGCTATCTTATTCTATTGTCTTATTTCTCCACTCACTTTGATATGAAAATTTATTGACAGATTTAACCTCAAACAAGATGACGTTTAAGACCTAAACAAAACAAAGTTTTAAAAATAAAAAAGTGATAAAAGAGAATTCTTAATGTCACTAGCTACTAGCTAGCCACCACCCACCAACCATATTTGTTGGCAAAGAGGCCAAAGAACACTCAATGACACCAGGAACACTCAGTGACACCAAGAAATATCCAATCGTCCAAGTAAAATTGCAATCGTGCACCAGATTCCTCTTGCCCATTATTTCAAACTTGGACATTTTGTGCCAATCTCCTTGATTTCAACGATACAGTCATCAGAGAGCAGCCGGAGGAAGGAGACCTCGTGAGGACAACGAGGCTTTGTCTCTGTGCGATTGTTCTTGATAAGAACCGGTATGGATGCAAAAGAGAAGAGGAAAACAAATAGAGAGGGAGCAAAGAAATATTTGAGTCCATCCTTGCCGGACGTTCATGGTCTGGTGCGAAACTTGGGAGAGAAAGGGGTGTTTGTCGTCCCACGTCGAGTAGGTGGATATGGATGCTAAGTTCTTTGAGTTTCTCTTCAGTTTTTTGTTTTATTTTACTTGTTTCATATTAAAGAAATAGTACATCAAAGTTATTTTAGGAATCAAGGTGGGTGAGAAAAGAGCATTTTCATTTTACAATTTTTATTGATGGTTGGAAACATAAGGTAGGGTGAGGAAATAAGACTGGTGGGTGACATTAGCAGCACTCTTTTTAAATTGTGGACATACTTTTTGTGCAGCAAGAAAACTCACATCTAATTGATGTCGTAGAATAAGATCACACAACAGTCACATGACAAAATAATATCCAATTTATATATGAAAGTTTCCATCCCTCATATCACTGAGATCTATTGTGATAAAACTAAATACCTACTAATAGGTGGTTAGGTTGGTACAATATCAGTGATGTTGGTGGTAGACTTGCTCATCTACATGGGCCTATAAAGTTTATTATGATATCAGAGCAGTCTATTCTTTTGACACCTCATGGGTCCTATTTACTGAGTTTGCCTCTTTAAGTTAAGTTTTTGGAAAAGTTGTGCTAACTTCAATTTAAGAATATTGAATGACTAGGCCCTCAAAAAGTTGTGTTGTCTCCGATATAATAACTCGACCAATTCCCGATGAGGAATCGGTTTCCCTTGTGACTCCATGTGGAGTCAGTTGTGAGGAGGTGTGTTAGAGAATAGGATCCCACATCGGTTATAAACAATATAATATACAATTAATATATGGGAGTTTCCACTTTGATATCATTGAGACTTTTTGTAATAAAACTCAACACCTAATAATAGATGGTTAAGTTAAGACAATATCAATGATGTTGGTTATGAACCTGCATGTACAAGCCTATAAAGTTTATCAATTGACACTTAGCAACTGGATATATGAACCTCTCTTAAACTCTCAATGACTCTTAGTCCTCCTTGGTGCAAGAGAAATTGCAGTTGAAGTAGTACTAAATTACTAATTGGAATAAATGCGTTAGGTGCTTTATAATTAGACAGGAAGGCTCGTTGCTGGGTTCTTGTTCAACATGCATTGTGTAATATTGTCAGCAGTACGCTTGGCTTTTCTTCACTTCAGGGTGTGAATTCTTGGAAGTAATGTTACAATTAATGTACCCACAAACTCTGTTTCGTCTCATCAAATGAAGACCCCTCCGCACTACATCTACCAAGTAAATGTAAAACCAATAAGTCAAGTTGAAAAGTTTTCACATATGTTTGCCATGAACCATTTGAGTCAGCGCGCGTCCCCGTACACACACACATACAAGGATAAATTATACAAATCAACCTCAATTATGGATTGAACTATAATCTCATACCTTATATTTTAAAAATTACAATGTTATACCTTATCTTATGAATTTGTTGCAATGTCAGACATCGGTCAATTTTTCTATCAATTACTTTATTAAATGCTGACTTGACTTGAAACATGGCATACTTCCTAACACAACTGGATTAAAAAATTAATTAAATATTAAATAATAAAAATTAAATCTTTTTAAATATTTTATTAAAAAAAGAATAGGAGTCATTTAAGGGATGATGACCAATCCACCCTTCTTCCCCAGTACGCTTGCGTCCCGCTGCCACCCTCCTCCTCAAACCCCCACAACAGCAGCAACCACCACCACTACTACCCAAGGACATCGTCATACTCCTCCTTCGCTTCCTTCAAGGGCTGCTGCTGCCGCCCCTTTTTACTCTTCTCCTTCTAAGCACTCCTCGTCCTTGTTGTCAAGCCAAAGAAGCTGCCGTTCAATGTCCAGCAAGTCGGCGACCCAATCCCACCCCAACCACCAACCCCAACCAAAACCCCACCTCTGCCTCCCTCTCCCTCAGCATTCACATGCTCTTACGGTGAGTCCAAGTTCACTGTCATGTACCACGGGATTTCATTGGGTATGGTGAGCAACGAAGGCAGGGGGAATTGAAGGAGTGGCGGAGGAGGTTGAGGTGGAGCAGGTGGTGAGGTTGGGGTGCCCGGAGATCGGTATCGTCGGGTGGACTTATTGAAGTATCTATTATTATTGGTGGTAGGGTTTGTCTAGTTGTCATTGTTTAGTTGGTGATGGATAACAACTCATTGTCATCTTACTTTCGGCTAGGGTTAGCTGCTTGTTTGTTTACTTTAGGCTTATTTAAGAGAATTTGACATAGTACAGTCCATTGAGGAAGAATCCTTTACCAATCGTTTCCTTCGAAACTTGGTCCTGGCATGTCATTTTGTGACACTGAGTTTGATTGTTCGAGGAAGCCAGCAAACTTGCCGAGCATGGCTGAAGGAGTTTCATGATTTGTTGCTTCTTGTTTCTGTTGCAAGAAGTTAGCGAATTCATTTATGAAAGCAATGGGACTAGAGGAAGAGTTTATCACATTATTGGAGACATTGTCGCAAACAAGATTTCCTCTAGGAGTGTAGGCAGGCTTCATTTGGTTTCTTGGTGCTCTTCCATCGTCATTGAACTTAGGTTTAAGTTCTAGATAAAGAATCCAGCACTTCTCTTTTATGTGTCCAATACCTGTACGACCTATCTTCATACAGTGAGAACACTTTAAGTCTGGTCGTTTTCCCTTGTATGGTCCCCATGCTGCATAATCCGGTGCAGTTGTTTCGGGGATGATGTCATCCTTTTGAATGAATGGGAGCTTTCCACGTCCTTCAAGAGCGAGAGAAATAGCTCGTGACCAGGGCAGGTAGTTGAATTCGTTTAGAAGCACAGAGCTCAAACGTTGAATTGGATTGGTATCCATGGTTTCGTTTTTTGAAGTTTTTTCTGCTGGTATGGCCATAATGGCTCAACTGGTTTGGATTTGGTGGGTTTTTCGGAAGAACACAGAAGCAGGTCCAAGAGGAATCACTGCTCTGATACCATATGGACAATTTTATGTATATATCATGTATAAAATAGTTTACAAGATCAACCATAAATAAGAGAGGAATACAAGAAAGAAAGTGGATGAATGGTGCGGACAGGGATGGCAGCTCAGCAAGCATGAGCGAAGACCTGACCTTCACTATCTCTAACTTAAACTAATACCTAGCTTTTCATGATGAGGGAATATTGCTCTTAAATAAGCCTAAAGTAAACAAACAAGCAGCTAACCCTAGCCGAAAGTAAGATGACAATGAGTTGTTATCCATCACCAACTAAACAATGACAACTAGACAAACCCTACCACCAATAATAATAGATACTTCAATAGGACTGGGGAAGAAGGATGGGTTTGTAGAGTTGGGTGACTTGGGTCCCACAATTTTTAACTAATATTTAAATGATTTAATTTTTAAACTTTGATATTTAATTATTTTTTAATCTAGTTGGGCTGGGGAGTAGATCCTGTCTCAAGTCACATCAGTATTTAATAGAGTAATTGACAGAAAAACTAACAGATGCCTGATATTACAATAAATTCGTAAGATAAAGTATGATATTGTAATTTAAAAAAATAAAGTACGAGATTATGTTTCGAAATACAAACAAATATCTATACATACAACTTGTGATAAACTTTTCAATAGAAAAAAGTGGATGTCTCTATTAGACTAGGCCTTGATGAACGTAGGAATTGCAGAAAGAAAACACAACGGAAAAATCATAAAACGAATGGAGGAAACCCTAATAGGTTGAGTGTGACTAACGTTGATGTTGGATTGAATTATGTATGTTAAGTGCTTCAAATTTTGATATGTTACTACGAATCTAAATGCTAATTAAAAGCAACCTAAATGTCCACCATAAAAATATTTCAGAGACAATTTCCTTCGTACTTTTTGATGAATCCAAATGGCAACACCTTTCAATCATTCATAACAAGAGTTTGATTAATAAATAGAGGACATAAATCCTTAAACGAAAATTTTAAATTTTAATAGGATAAACTGCTAATTTAGTCTCTGAATTATCATTTGAGTGAAAATTAAGTCCTAAATTATTTTTTCAAAAAAATCAATCTTTGAATTATAAAAATCTTTCAATTACATCCCTAATATTAGATTTGAAGCTACTATATTCAATTTTCCTTCAATTTAAGTCACATTATTTGCATATGATATACATTAGAAAGTAGATTAATAATTTTTCATAAAGAAATAGTGAATGAAGTTAACTTTAGAGGGTAAATTAGACATTAAATTCACAACCTATATGAAATGTTAAGGGCATATAGGTGAGAAAATGACGGTCTTACATTCTAAAGTGTTAAGTGACTTGAGTTGACGAAAAATTGGATAAAATAACTTTAAATATAATAGTAGGGATGAAATTTACAATTTTTAATGAATTTAGAGACTTATTTTAATGAAAAAAATAATTTAAGAACTTAATTTTTACTAGGGTGATAATTCATGGATTAAATCAGCACTTCACTCTTATCAAAATAATATAAATTGTAAAATCTGCGTTTGACAGTTCAGTTGTATGTTAAGCCTTATTTTTCTGGAGAAGGATTCTCTACCCTCATATTCTCATCCTCTTCCACCCCTCTCCTCTCACACATTGTTTTTTGTCTTATTATCTCTATAAAAAAATCAATATAAGATGTTGACGTGGCTTAACTGTGACAGTTCAAATAGGAGGGCATGGAAGGGTAGAGAGATTAGGAGGGTAGAGAATCCTCCTCCTATTTTTCCTGCCAAATGTATGTTTGTTGCCAATCCTCGAAGTTATTGTACTGGATGGCGGCAACAGGCCCGCACTAGGAGATGTATTGTATGCCCTTCCCATCCCATAACCTTCACATCTCCTCCTATTTCTGTGATTACGGTTAAGTCACGTCAACATTTTATATTCCTATTATTTTTTGTCTTATTATTTCTATAAAAAAATTAATATAAAATGTTGACGTGGCTTAACCGTGACTACAAAAATAGGAGGGGATGGAAAGGGTATGAGATGGGGGAGGGCAGACAATCCATCTCCCCGCACTATGGCCAAAACCTAAGCCTAGAAAAGGGAAGTACATATATAGCAGCTTATCTCGGAAGCCTTGCCAGGCATGTATGTCGGCGTGTCTACTAACGGCGCTGCCACTGCGATCACGACGAAGAAGACGAAGAGTGTGGCGTCCACAAGCTTCACCAAAGCTCCCATTTTTTTATTTATTACAATTACACATGCTCAGTGGTCTCTAAATTGTATTGTATTGTGGGGAATATCAGACCGAGGGGATGTAGCTCAGATGGTAGAGCGCTCGCTTAGCATGCGAGAGGTATGGGGATCGATACCCCACTTCTCCAAATTTTCGGTACTTTATTTTACTCAAAATAAACTAACATACATGTAATGATTCATAACCCTTCTTAATTGTAAACTCTATTCTTTTCTTTTTTACACAAGTGGTAATGGTAAAAAGAGATACGTATTCAAGCACATGAATAAATACTCCAATCACTTGAGTTATACAAATTTTTTCCTTTTAATTTTTTTAGTACATACATGTCAAATATGGTAAATTTTTTTAAAGGTACCACGAGAGAGATGTTAATGGCTCGTATTTTGGATTTATCTGATTCATCATATTTGGTATGTGTTTTCTTTATTGGAACTTAGGTACACTCTTCGTATACATATATTTTTGAACTTACGTATTTTTATTGGAGAATGTTGGATCATAAATTGAGAATTAACTACAATACCTTTTTATTTTTAGTCGAGCGATAACATTAGTAAGTTAAATGTTAGATTAGTCACCATCGGAGTTTAAACCCACGCCGTCATGCAATGACACAACACATTTTCACCACTGTGGTAAAGAGTCACTTGCAACTACAATACTTACACGTATTTAATGCAATCATCATCTAACGATAAGATATAGTTATGTGAAAATATGTATTTAATACAATCATCATCTAACCATTGAGATGATGATTGTTTTAAATACATGTAAGTATCCAAATCTGAATTTTTTTACATCCAAATTTTTTAGAATGTTCGGAATCGGAATTTCTAATCCAAGTGGATCAACAGTGTTTTTTATTTCTTGGCTGACACTATGATATCCTAAGAAGCCTTCACTGGCATCAATTTCGTGACTTCGTTTGTATCATCTCCCCTTAGGGGTATGAATTTTTCTTTTGGCCACCAAAAAAATTCCCAAATGAACACCAACACCATGATTTGTGTTGCCGTTGGTTCATAACAATTCTTTCTCATCGATACATAAGAATTCAAGGTACATAGAGGTCTCCATGATGGTAACGGACTCACTCAGGTAAAAGAACTGAAAAACTAAAATGATATAAATTTTGATACAAAGATTTGAGTTGTAAGTTATTTTCCTGTACTTTGGTGGGTCGGTGCCTTTGCTTGTTCTTTAGCTGCTGGTTGTAGTAGTGGCGGTAGACGGAGGGAGCAGTCTGCGCAGTATGGCCAAACTGCAAAGCACACAGCAGGGTAGTACAACATCAACATTGGATTAGATGCCCTGCCGGACCATAACAGCTCTGGCATATAGCACCCCTGCAATTTTCACCAAGCTAGAAAATATGTAACAAGTTGAATAAACTAAGGATCTTTTATGATCATACCGTACATGTGAAAATGAATTAATTGTCAGAATTGCCTTAATCTAATTCTAGAAGAAGTCCAAAAACACTATCTTTATGATCGTCAATACCTAACATTTGGGTGTGACAGTTACACCGAAAAATCACTTTATACTTAACATCTCAATCAAAACTTATGTAACTAAATCTGAACTAACTAGAAATTGAACGGTGAAGAGACAGGCAATCAAAACAGATTAACCATGGTGATAAATCCATATAAATTGTTCAGGCTGCAGGGGTATGTATGAGTTTGTTACAAAACCATTAAGTAGCAAAATAAGCAACCAATTGAAGAATCAATCTGTTCATATAAATATAAAAGTACGAAAAATGTAGAAAATCAGATTGTCATTTTTAATATGATTATATGAATCTGGATACATAATATATAACATACTAAAGTAGCTAACTAAATTATCAAAGTTAAATCTAATTTAACATTGGAGCTTGGTAAAAATGATAGAGTAGCTAGGATTTCACCATGGTGGTGAAGGAGGAGGCGTCATAGAGCAAGCAGGCGTTTTGTACCAAGGCTTAGCTGCCAAAATCCCATACAATTTGGTAACGAGAAGAGGCCACTGCAGTATGAGTTCAACCCAAATGAGGCCAACGAAGAAATGAGGCTTCTGTTCACCAAGATAATCGGCAAACCCACTGACGTACCAGTTCTTGAGCTCCACCAGCGAGCTTGGGAAGAGGCTCTGAGTCAGACACAGCTACACGTCTATCAGCACCACATTCACCGCCGTTAAGGCGAAAATTACGAAGAGTATGGCGTCGATTATCTTCACAAAAGCACCTATTTATTAGGCTTTGTTTTGCTCTTCTTAGCTTGTGAAGTTGCAAAATTATATATCAGATATACTTATAAGGCACACTATGTTGGAAGGCTAGCATGGGTTATGAAAGTCTGCTCTCATTAAACTATATAAATTCTAAACGTTGGCATTTGTTTAATAAATCCATCACTAAAATCCATGTTAAATAATTTTTTGTTAAACAATTTGATACATGAGTCAAATTTGCTGAGCAGGAAGGTTGATTGATAAGGCAACTAATTTTTAAAGGTACAATCTTGATTTTTTTTATGGGAAGTGTTATTGGCACTCCAAAAATCTCATTCTACACTCTTAATAAGTGTATTTTTTTTCCTAATATAGAAAATTTGGAGTATAGAATGAGTTTTTTTGAGTGCTAATAACAATTCCCTTTTTTATATATTAATTATTATTAAAGGGAGGGGTTGGGTTCGAAACTATTACAATAATTTATGTGAAGATGAGTTTCAAACATGGGACGTATGGTGGAAACCAAACAACTTATCCACTAGAATATTGAATCATATGCATGGACAATCTTGATTAATATATAATCAGATAATGGGTAAATTTTTAAGCAAAACGGTCATACCTTATTTTGGTATTATATTGTTGTTATGTAATGAATGATTTAGAGTATTTTGTTAGCGCTTGATGACGTGTTATAATATAAATAGATTAGTAGTAACATATGGTGTAGCAGCTATGATTTAGAGTAAATATTGTTCCTTATTTTCATCAATCCATTTTCACCAATAAGAGCCAAGAGGAAAATTCATCAATAGAATTTGAGAACAAAAAAAAAAAAAAGAGTTCCACATTAAAATAACTCATACCTCCATCTATTGAATCTCATAGCTTGTCCTGGCAATCACAATGATTAACTCTTACGAAGTTTTTTTTGGTTCTTCGTTGAAAGACAGAACCAAAGCTCAACAAAGCGTATAATTAACCAGAAAACAAAAATGATAAAAATATTTGAGGTCTACATCATTTTCTTTTGTGGGGCGGTCCTTTTGGTTGTTCCCTTGCCGCTGGTTGGAGTAGCGGCAGCGGACGGTGGGAGCAGACCGCGCAGTATGGACAGAACAGCCAACCCCATAGCAGCGTAGTGCACATTCAACATTTTCTTAGATGCCTTGCCGGACCTTAACATCTCTGTTAATACAGCGCCCTGCAATTTTCAAGCCACAAAATATGTTACAAGTTTAAGAAATAAAGGACCCAATATTTTATAATCGTCAGCCATACATGTCAGTAGAATTAGTTTCAGTTCTTATTCTAGGAGGAGTTCAAGGAAACGCCAGATTGTCCCATTTCCTCTTCTTGATCTATCTACTGTTAAATAAAACTATAATGCTATTTATTCCAGATTACAAGTCACTTTGTTGAAACCTTTTAATAGGGAATGAGATCCACTCCGGATCTATGCGTCCATAGCCAGCGAACTGAGAGATCTAGATTGTTCAAGAGAGAGAGATATGTCACTCAGTATTACGGTCTGGTAATATTCATTTTCGTTTAGAAGTGAGATGTTTTAAGTTTGAATCTCGTGAATAGCGAATTCGATACCAAATTAGGTTGTCCATTGTGTGGTTTAGTCGAACTTCCCCTCCTCCTTCCCTATAGTGTAAAAATATTGATGTACTCAAAAAAAGAGAGAGAGAGAGATCTCAGTAGTTCAAATTTTTGAGTTTTTATGAAGTGAGCCAGTTGAATTTGCTAATAGGACTGTAAGATTAAAATTGAGTATTGATACATATCTCTCAGTCTATGGACTCCAAATACAAAAATCTAGAGTGGACCTCAATCCTTCTAACATAGGCGGGTCATATCCATGTATTTGAGACTCAAGTGCTAATATTTACACCACATTTACTCACTAGAAGTACCAATGATGCAATAAATGTGGTACAAAAGGATAGAAGAAGTTTACCATGGTAGTGAAGAAAGAGATGCCATAGACCAAGCAGGTGGTGTTGAACCAAGGCTTAGCAGTCAAAATTGCATACAAGTTGGCAACGAGAAGAGGCCACTGCAATGTAAGCTCAACCCAAATGAGGCCAACCAAGAAATGAGGCTTCTGTTCAACGAGATAATCATCGAACTCGCGAGCATACCAGTTCTTGATCGCCACCACCGAGCTTGGGAAGAGGCTTGGAGGCAGACACAACTGTGTATCTATCAACACCGCGCACACCGCTGCCATGGCAAAATTCACAAAGAGAAACCCGTCGATTATCTTCACAAAAACACCCATATTTTGATGCTGTGTTTTTCTCTTTCTCACAGTTTGTAATGCAATAGTGGATCTTGGAGATATTTGTATGGGCCTATTGGCACACCATCTTTGAAAAGCTAGTTAGGTAAACAAAGTCTGCTCTTATTAATATTATATAATTCCAGAGATCCATCACTAACATGCATGTTAAATTGTTAATTAGTTCAGCAATTTCTTATTGTTAGACAATTTTATACATATCCTAGAGTGTGATCCAGAAAATTGATTATATTCAAGGCAAAAAATATTTAAGGTAATATCTTGATTAATAAATGTCTTTAATGTGGTCATAGAACTACAGATAGCACTATTTAAAATGAAAATACCCTTTTCATTATATAGTGTTTTATCTGGCACTTGTTTCATACTTTTTCTCTCATACTGAAAACAAAAATGTCAACACCTAGTTAATCCCTCATACTCGCACTCTTAATGATCAAAACCAATCAAATTAATCTCAAGTCTCAACAAAGAAAGTAGACATGCGCATAACTAAGTTGGCGAGAATAATATGTTTTTACTTTGAACCCAGTTTCAACTAGATCTTAAAACAAAAAATGTCAACACCTAGTTAACCCTTCATAACTTACGTTGCAAACTAGATGTTAAAAAAAAAATACTTGTATAGGCACACCATCTCATGTGGTCTTTGTTTATTCACTAACTAACGTCCATGTTTCAGAAATGCATTTTTATTAGATAATTTGATACGGAAAGGTACAGTCATGATTTATATGGAGAGTCACACAATAATATACCAAAATGTTTGATAAAGGAACACTACTCGATAGAGTTGTAAAAGAATACTTGGGGAAAATACCATTCTACAAAAATACATTACATTTTGCTTTTAAGATATATTAATTTCCTCCGTACAATATAAAGTCTTAACTAGGCACGACTCAAATGGCAATCACAGTGATGAATTAATACAAACTACTCTCGCAATGAGATCGATTCACGATTACAAAATTCGGGTTGAAATTGGAGCGAGAGTCGGGTTTCTTTTTCTTGATTAAACTCTCTTCTTCCTGCCTGAAGCAGGTCTCTTGCCAATGGTTGCAGTATGCGTGGTTGATGAGTTGGGTAGCAGCCCACGAAGTATGGCTAAAACACCCAAACTCAAGAAACAATAGTACACCGTCAGTAGCTTATCAGGTGCCCTTCCTGACCATGTCAATTCAGCAAATATTGGCACCTGCATGAAAAATTAAGGGAGTAAATAAGTTGTATCATCTCAGTTGATTATTTTATGTGGATTTCTCCAACGCAAATGGGTGACATGGGTCTCGTGATTTCCATCAAAAAAATTATATATTAGGAAAAATTGTCAATTGAGATGATAGAAATAATTTTATTTGAAAAGATTACGAAACATGATAAAAATAAATAATTACCATGGAAGTGAAAAGAAATATTCCATAGCTGAAGCACGTAATGTTGAACCAAGGCTTGCCAGCCAAGATACCATAAAGGTTAACTAACACGAGAGGCCACTGGAAAATAAGCTCAACCCACATGATCCCGACGTAGAAATCAGGCATTTCGGTCATGAGATAGTCGCCGGACTCGCGAGTGTACCAATTCCTGAGGTCCACGAGAATGTCCGGGTAGAGATTGCGAGGGAGGCATGCTTGCGCTTCAATCAATGGCGTTGTGAAAGCGATCGCCAGGAGCAAGAGGAAGAGTAACGCATCAATGAGCTTGACAAGAACACCCATTTTTTGCTTTTTGTTTCTTAGTTTTGGAGGTTTAGCCTAGCTATGTTTGCGAGGAATGGAAAATAGCTAGCCAGGGAGAAATGAGAATGGTAGCAAAAAGAGGATCTTGGAACGTGAAAACTCAACATGGGGTGCATTTTATATGGGGTGTGTTGACTCGCTCACACAGGCCCCTCAAATGTTTGGGACATTCAAAATTGCTTGTTATCAAATGCACTTGGCAAATGAACATTCTCATTTTCCATCTTATATAAAATTAAAAATAAAACAACATTCTCATTTTCAAAAGCAACGAAATGAAATGGTGAAAAGATGAAGGCTTGAGGGGGTAAATTGAATGCCACCTTGAAAGTGTTCAGGTTTTTGGCTTGAAATGGACCTAAATCTTTATAAAGATCTTTGAAATTGGAAATCGATTATTGTCGTTTCTGAAATTGGTTGCTACAACTCAATTGGTACTTCTGTTATAATTTTGTCAATTGAAGCCCAAATTACCATCAAGCCTTTGTAGATTTTGCTACAACAGATTCTTGTGCTTATATGAGGAAAAAAAATAGCGATATAGGCAAGTTTGGATTCATATGACTAACATTTCCCTTTTCTACACAACTTGTTTTGAGTGTTTTTATTTATTTATAAGGAGATATCTACTTTAAACTAATATAAAATTAAGAGAAAAAATTAAACTAAACTGCATAGAAGTGTACATCTACTCTAGTTAATATCACTACAACAACATTTGCAAAACTTTGTTGCAAGTCGAATTGTCGATATTTTCTAATTACAAATAATGAAAAGTGATCAAAAGTCACATTGTCCATGTGAAACTCAAAAGTCACCACTTTACTCCATTTTGAGAGAGATATTTCAGTGTGACCTGGTACACAAAATGGTACACCACGTGTCATTATACAAATGGTGGGATATATGTACTAAAAAGTTAATAACTTAAAAAATAAAATTTCTCACCACTTCTATTAAAACACGTCATGTACTACTTGTGTTCCCGTCACAATTAAAAATTTCTCCCATTTTGATCTCACTTTACCCTCTATAACTCAAAAGTCACCAATTTATTCTCTGAACTCAAATTCATTCCACTTTGAATTGTGGACTCTCTCCTCTCCTTGAAATTTATAGGTCGCCTCTTAAAACATATGTGAGACTCAATACTCAATAAGACTTTGCCACATATACAATAAAGTTGATTACAAATTTTCATTAACATCCAACAGTCAAAGAATATTAAGTTTAAAAGAAATTAAAGAGATAAAAAAATTGATCAGCCACGCACCCAATTAAACTCACATTGAATTTAATAGATTTAAGGCAATGTGAAGCGAATTTTGAGTTTTATGTAGACGACTTTCAACTTTCAAGGGTAAAATAGGATCAAAATCGTTTGCAGATAGCAAAGTAAAGCAAACTTTGAGTTTCAAAGAATAAAATGACGGCTTTCAAATTATAGAAAGTAAAATAAGGTCAAAATCAAGTTATAGAATCGTAGATAAAAAATAAGCCATAATAAAATGAAATCACATAATGAAAAGCACTCACCAGTGAAGAGAACGACGCCGTACGGCCAGTTGTCTTACTATAGAATCTGGACCGAAAGCGCAGACGACTGAAGATTGGCTTGCAGACATTTTACCTTTTAACGATGAGCGAGACTCGACCGGTGCCAAGGAGAGAGAGCCCATGGGGGAGGCCGGAGGGAGATCATCGCGAACCGAAGGCCCACCGCTGCAATGACCGGGCGGAGGACGTGATCCAGGTAACCGAAAACCCTCTGGTAATTTTTCTCAAAATTCGAAATTAACATCTCTTATGCTTATGCAAGAATTGAGATATTCAGCTACATTTATGCACAAATTTCAGTTAACTTAATTAAATTTTTGAACTTTATGATAGGAATTAGATTCAACATTGGGTTGGGATTAAATTGTTGTTCTTATTGCTCTGTGTTTGTGGGTGAGCTTGGTTGAAATATTTTGATGGGTTTTTGGGAATGAAGAATTGAAGGCAAGTGATTTCCAGCTGAAGAATACTTTTGCCTGATCGCGAGTGATTGATTTAATTGTATGGTTTTGAGTTTAATTGTGTGTTTATGCTTTGTATAAGTTGAATTTTCAATTGAAATTATGGGAATTTCGCTTTTGAAAGAATTTGGTCATCCATCAAGGTTGAATTTAGGCCCTATAGTTTAAGTTCCTGCTAGTTATGGTAACCAGTGAAACAGACCAAAAGGTTTTGCCTTTTTCCCCCAATGGATCACAATGTTTGTACTTCAGGATTAGTGAATGTGAAGCAGGAACAAATAATAATTACATGACTTAAAAATGAAAAAACAACACTAGCATAGTACATCGGTGGTGAGGGAAGAGGGGGTTGCAAATGGTTTGTGGAAGTGAGGAAAGAAGAAACTCACAATTAAGAAGATTATTGTAATGCTGAACGTGTCTTCATCAAGTCTTTTTATTTAAGCTTGATTTTGGTGATATTCAGTGATAATCGTGTTGACACAGGACTTGGAGAGTATGTGATGATCTCTTTCTAGTAGTAACTTTCAAAGTTTTCAACTTCCCTTGCTTTGTGTAGTTGCTGCCAGAAAAATAATTTTAAAACGGCCTGAATACTTTTTAACTTTTGTTCTCTGCTACCGAGGATCCTAAGCAGTTCGAAAAATTTCTAGATTATCAATGTTAGTAGTGTTTCGTTCCTATTTGTTAGTTCATTTTGCCTGTTTCTTGTGTAGGCTTGTTTTGAGGGAAACCCATTTAAGACTGTTCCGGGGCCATTTAAGCTCTTCTGGCAGTGCATGCGATCAAAACCCGGGTATGATTGACCTTTAAAATGCTGCCCCAGTGTCTACAACAATGACACCTTGATTTGAGGGATCTTTTGTTTATTCATAATAATGTCACGTAATGCTGCATCTGTTACTAAATTCAATACACGCTCGTTTGGTAGAAAGGATTTGATTGGAAGGGATAGCCCTCAAAATTCAAAGCATTACTAAGGTAGATGAGTGATTTTCATCTTGAGGGGATTAGAAGAGGATTAGACATGAAGAAAACTTCTCCCTTCTAATCCTACCATTTTGGGGAGGATTGGAATGAATAACATTTCTTCTCGAGTAATCCTTCTCCTACCTCTAACTTGGTCACAGTTTTTCATTTCTTCATTCAATATACCTTGAGAATAGTGTCTTATCCGTTACAATCCAATCATATATTCCAAACGAGGCCTACATGTTATTCTCCCTTCTGTGATTCCCAGAGCATTTGTGTTGTTCTGCAGGGAGGAATCAACAGAGCCATTTACATATTTGCAGCTGGATCCCCCAACAAGAGAGGTGAAACTTGAGTGAAGCCGCCTTTGTTATCGGAATCAATCTCATTGTCTCCAAAATTCCAATTTTTGTCATCTTTTCTCTTTATAACATAATATCGGAGCGCAACTAAGATTACGGCTTCCAATGCAGTTGAGTTCAGCAGCTTGTTTGAGTTTTATTTGAACCATCAACCATCAACTTAATGTCATCTTTTCTTATAATATAAGCATTTGTGGTGGTTCTTTTCTGCACTGGAAGTGTAACTGTCGTTCAAACGATTCAATAGTGTTGTCTGCCGCACTTTATAAAGTGCCGGCTATTCTTTATCTTAAAGGCTATAGAAATCTAGATGCACTAATGCTGTTCTTGATATGAAATATGCGGATTTTTACTGTGATTTGGATGATCAAATATATAGACTGCAATTGTATCAAAAATTCAGTGATTTTATTTTCTTCTTCGAACTGTCTATAACTGTTGAACAAAACTTTATTCATATGTGGAGATGTGGGCTGTCCGCCTCTCCCTTTCTCCAAGTCATGAAATGTAAGGCAAAAGAAAAAAGGGTCATGAAATGGGGAAAAAACCCGAATCGTTATCGGACTGACGATTACGGCAACTCCAGCCTCCGGGGACCGACCAGTTGACTCCTTGTATCTCTGGGGAGCAGAGAAATCAGAGAGATCCAGCTATCTCTACAAGAATACAATACTAGAAATCGATGATGGGCTCTCCGATGGTCAGATTGCGCTCCACTGTCCATGGTAAGTCGAAGAGCTTGGCCGTTATGAATTTGAAGATCTTGTTCACGTTTATGTTGTATGTTGCACTCGAAAAGAATAGCGTCGCGTTGAAGGCCTTTGCATATGCTCTTGCCTGCATTCACATTTTGACATGAGAATCAAACGACAACTTCCAAAATATTCATTTTGCTCTTCAAATGAACATCTTAAAACAGGAGCACAAATTTCTTTCAAGGGTGCTATGCATTACTTATGTTTGCAGTAACCAAAAGCATTTCTGGTTACGATAACATTCTAGGTGTATACAATTAGGAACTGCTTTAAAAAAAAAATTGAGGAACTTGAGAGAATTGGAGAAATTTTGTAGTACATTTTATGACTCAGTTTGAAAGTACTTTTAAAATGACTGAAAGCGTTTTTAGTGAAAATGTTTTGCACTTTCAAAAACACTTGAAGTGCTTTCTCCAAGAAGCACCAATTACGTGCTTCTTACAAATGTACTTTAAGTACTTTTTTCAAAATTTACTTGCATTTTTATTAAGGATTGGTACTAAAAATATTGTCACAAAAAACGCTTTCAACCATTTTTAAATGCACTTTAAACGAGTCTTTAAACATTCACAAATCTCACATCTCCCCAATTAGAATTTGAGGAAATTCACTCAAAACTTGACATGGAATCTCTAAAAATTAATTAAACTCTAAATTCATGAATTTATAAGTTCATTCAAATCTCTCATAACCCCGATCCAATACACTTATTATTAGTAAAAGTTTATTCTAGTTTTGAACTTTTGACAGAAGTGCTTATACTTTTGAAAGCACACCAAACAAACCGTATTGGAACCAAATGAACACTTTAAAAGGCCATGACAGGTGGTTGAACACATTACTATTTCATGTTGGTGGTTGGTTTTTGTCCCCAAATTGAACTTGCGTGCAAGTCTTTAGGCTTTAGCTTGCTTTTCCTGTTGAGCTTTTTGACCTGGATGTCTCCAACTTTTCCTTATCTTTATCCGTGTTTTTTTTCTTTCTAGAAAGGTTGCTTCACCAGCCAAAAATAAATAAATAAAATTAAGTTCTAGAAGGATTACATCTAGCTCATCCTAGATGATTAGGCCCCCTAATCATTGATGTTCTTTGACTAAACACATTTTTTAAATAATTTAGGGTGTTAAGTGTACCTTGTGTTAACCATGAATTAAATTCTTTGCAAAGAATTGACACTGATGTCTCAAACTTGGAAGGATTGTTTATTTAGCAATTAGTATGCGGATTAGTAGGCTAGTCGGTTAGGACAGTTTGCTCGTCAGCTAACTTCTTATTTCAGATCTCTTTCCCATTAGTTTAGAATACCGCCTTACGAAATTAAAACAATATATGCTAATTGTTTATTAAGAAACTTCCTTACCTGACTTGCAATTGTCCATTGCAAATCTATAGGGAGCTGGATGAAATCATCGAACTTTGTTCCAATTAATATTGGGATTGCCGTCTGCAAATCGTGAAAAAATAAAATTACAATTGAGAAAAAAATTTGATTAATTTTGGAAATTAAGATAATGGAATGGATTTGTAGTTACCTGATTCCATTTCCTTGCTTGGTGATACCATGTTATGACACTGCAGACAATTAAATTCCATGGTTAAGAATGCTAAATAAAAATTAAAACAGGATTAAGAAATCAAAAGCTGGAGATTGTGCTCAGAAATTCACCTATTTAACGTACACCGACTTGTTAAATCAAACATGAACAAAATAGCTACGGAGTCCTTGCATGCAACGGGAATATTATCCTGGGATTTTACATCACCTGCACCAAAATTAAAATATAATTATTACAAACTGAATGAAATATTAGATTTTAAAACGAAGATTAATTCATTAATTAGATTATAATTATTGGTACATACCTCCAACTTCCCAAATACTATAGGAAATCCTTGCACCACGGACCAACAATGTCTTATCCATGGAATTTAATCCTGCGGTGTCTGTCTCTCCTCCCTCTTCCTTCTCATCATCTCCTACGTACTTTACCTAAGCAACCAAATAAATTCAGTAAAAAAATATGATAAAAAATGAAAATAAAATGAAGAATGAGAATGTGACATGATATGATCGAAACACAATTCATGGTACCAATCATATGACATACAAACACATACAAAATCTGTATCATAAATGATTATTTTTTTTTCGGTTGAAAAAATGTTAAAACCAAAAATACCAGAGGTTGATGCACAAGATTGTATGAAATCTCTATCTATACGAATGGAGAGATTACCACAAAGCTAGTTTTTCCGATTTGGCTGTCTCCCAAGAGGCTGATCTTTAAGGGCACCAAATCCGAGTTGTTATCACGGTGGCTACTCTTGTTACGATGAAGTTGATGACACGTGAGGTCCCTTGATTTCGAGGACGGCGACGAAGGCGCAAAAGTGGAAGAAGGGGTGTCGTTCGATGAGGACATGGCGGCCGAAATGGGCAGCATCCTGTACCGGACTGGCTTTCCTAAACAACACATGAGCAGCCGGTCCATGACGCGGCGGACGCAGCGGCGGAGGACGAAGACGCGGCGTCTAACTCTTCTCCTGAGGCTGAAGTGGTGTACCATTTCTTCAACAAAAAGCAACTATAGTCAATCAATCTTCAAACTTGGAAGAAACAACGGACGGTTGTGATTGTGGCGATCAAAGGTGGTGATGGTGGTTGTGCGGATGGCCTCAACAGCAAGTGAGCGGCTCTTGTTCTGTTTAGGCCATGGAAAATGAAAAGCTAGCTTCTATTGCTCTCATACTTTCATGACTCGTGGTATTTTTAGAATATTTGCTTTGTATTGAGGTAACATTTTCTAATTTCATTTTTTTATTTTTTTATTTTGTCCAATTTTCCATTGCTTTTTTGCTTTTTTTTCAGTTACAACCACCTTTTGCTATCAATGTGACAACTTTAACGGGACAGTTGACCAGTAATAGCATGGACATAATCCCAGAGAAAAATACTAGATAAATCATGTTTTTAGACAAGAGTAATGCTTGGGAGACTTAATTTAGAGGTTAAATTTTAAAAATTAAAGAATATAGAAGTTAATTATTGGTTTATTAGTTAAGCGTTGATGGACATGCTCATTTCTATTGATGACACATCATTTAGTTTGTAATTTTAGTCTTCAAATTTAGTCTCTCTAGCATTACTCTTTAGACTATATTTTGTAGAATATATATAATATGACAGTTGATAGTTGAATTCATTTTTAATGAATTTTTAAATAATGAATTCAACCATCAACTGCCACATCATGTGGTTTACAAAATATGGTTTAAGTCAATAGTCTCTCTAGCATAGTTCAAGTAAATGTGGTATACAAAATAAGTCCTAATTGCCTTCTTCCAATGCTACACGTATGTTGGTTATGTCTACGTGTGTGACGATGACACAACTATACATATCAATTAATGTATTATTAGGAGAGTTTTTTAAAGTATCAGGTATTCAAGGCTACTTCACATGTCATAATACAAGCGGAAGAAATATATAATATTTTTCGTATCCCTTCACTTATTTTATGACATGTGATGTATCCATTTCAATGCTAAACACTTTATAAAATTTCTTGTATCATATTATTATTACTGTTACATCGAAAAATTTCTTGTAAATTTGCAGAGTGACGGTTACAAACTCTTGTATTGTACTATTATTACCGTTACACTGAAAAGTTTCTTGTAAGTTTGCATAGCGACGGTTACAAACTCACAATTTTTTGTAATGGGTTTTATGAGATTATGAGTTGTATGTATTCCATGTTTATCTTAAGACTTTATTATATCCGACTTAGTAATGAGTTGTAGAAAAAAGAATTAGGTTACTTTAAAAACATAAAAGTCTAAGTTTTTGCTTTTTTGAAGTAGCTCGAGTGACAGAAAAATGGTAAGATAGGCTTATAGTAGATCTGGTGTTCGATTTCTTCAAATCCAATCGAAAAGAAGAGTTAGAATAGGAGGTATGCATAACTAAAACCATCAATTTCTTCATTCTTCATGTTTCTGTTTGGTTTCTGTCGAGTGATGTTTGATTGACACCAAACATGTCACATCCTAGCTGGGGGGGGGACCACTTCCTGGGCTCGCTCCACCACCGTAGCACGATATTGTCCGCTTTGGCCCCAACCACGCCCTCAAGGTTTTGTTTTTGGGAATGCACATGAGAACTTCCCGATGGGTCACCCATCCTGGGAATGCTCTCGCGCGCTACTCGCTTAACTTCGGAGTTCTAACGGAACCCAAAGCTAGTGAGCTCCCAAAAAGCCTCGTGCTAGGTAGGGATAGGAATATACACATAAGGATCACTCCCTTGGGCGATGTGGGATGTTACAATCCACCCCCTTTAGGGGCCCAACGTCCTCGTCGACACACATGCGGCCAGGGTTAGGCTTTGATACCAAACTGTCACATCTCGGCCCGAGGGGTGGACCACTTCCCAGGCCTGCTCCATCACCGTAGCACGATATTGTCCGCTTTGGACCCCAACCACACCCTCACAGTTTTGTTTTTGGAAACTCACATGAGAACTTCCCGATGGGTCACCCATCCTGGGAATGCTCTCACGCGCTACTTGCCTAACTTCAGAGTTCCAACGGAACCCGATGCCAGTGAGCTCCAAAAGACCTCGTGCTAGGTAGGGATGTGAATATACATATAAGGATCACTCCCCTGAGCGATGTGGGATGTTACAAAACAGTTGCTACCAAAGGATTTGTGTTACTTCAATGTATAGTCATTGATTTATGTTTGGTTTCTTGTAAATTAAAGAGCACAAGAAAATGGATGTACACCTAATCGACTTTTGATAACTATGTACTCAAGTAGTAACAAGTAACCAATATTTTTCAGATCTAGGGCAATACAACCACCTTTTTTTAATGGTGAAATGTTGTGGCGAAGCTATCAACTGGTTCTTTTCTTTTTTTTCTTTTTATTTTAAAAAAAAAAAAAACAACAACAATCCTTGTTCGAAACAGAATCCCAAAAGACCAACGACATTTTTGTGATGAACGCGAGAGAGCAACTCAATTTCAGTCTTGAACTCGAGGCCTCCCTGCATTGATCCTTGCTGAGCTCTTTTGATTGCTATCACTTGTCCATCAGAAAGCATGCCCCTTTAAGCGTAAGTATAATTATATAAAATGGCCAATTTGAATTCAAGTTCAAGTAAGGTCTTTTATTTCGTAACTTACCAACTACCAAAAGTGCATTGTTCAGAAAACGTACCGAATCATAGTTGATAAATTATACCAGCAACGGTTAGGATATAATGATCAATAATTAAGTGGTTGGTACAATTTTCAACCAGTGGCTACTTACTCGGATGGGAAATCATGAATTGTAGTCAATTTATTATTGGCTTTTTAAGTAGGGAAAATTGGAATCTCTTGCAGTTTTTCTATATCATTTAGATTAAACATCTGTACCTTAATTTCATAAGTGCTTTGACCAATAGTTACTTCTATTTTTTAAAATTAAAATACTTTTTGAATTTATCCTCTTATCTGCATGATGCATTTTTCCTTATTTGGTGTAGATATTAGTAATTAACCTATATTTTCTCTTCTTCCAAATATGTTTTTTCGATCACAACTTTTTTTTTGGTTATGCAAACATTTAATATTATTTCTTTTTCCAAATGTTTTTTTTTCTTTTTCAAATAGTTGGTGATCAACATAAAAACTCTGTGTAATTTTTTCAATTTTTTTGTGAAATTATATTTTTTTTTGTTGTTTTTTTAAGTATAGTTGTTGACAAATTATTATTAGGTACAATAATACATTACGTATATATTATCTGCATGTACATTTGAATTTACAAAAACCATTAATTGATACGTTTATTTGCAATTTTGGTACATTTGATTTGATACTTATTGTTAATATTGGTACATTATTTTTAAGGAAAATTAATGAAAATGGCTTGAAAACTTTGAGTTTTAACGACAATGACAAAATAAAGAGTAAAGTGAATAGTACTAGGATTGACTTTTTAGTGTAAAAATGTGGTTTTTCGTTAAAGTGAACTGTACCGAGAGCTTTTCGTTAAAGTTCTCTTATTTTTATTTTTTACACATTGTGTATTGGTATGCTTATATTATTCTCAATTCCATTTTCTCTTAATGTACAAAAAAAAAAAAAACTTATTTCTATACATTTGATTTTGGGGGATTTAAAACTATTTTAAACTATTTTGGAAAGAAAATATCTTAAATTGTAGATAATTATTGCTAAATTGTAGCATTATTGTGAAAATAAATTGAATCTAACCAACTTTTTTTTTTTTTTTTACAATTATCTCTAACGGAGGAAAGTGTAATCAAAATGCTAGATTATAGGAAATTTGTTACAATATAATGTGCACATAGCACCAAATTTATGACAAAAAAAAGTTTAATCAAATCACTGAAAGACATGGATGATTGATTTAGAAAATTCAAAACTAAGACACCTATATTAAATATCACTTTTAAGTATTTGGTTCCGGAATATAATGTATGAGGTCTCAATCTACTCACACATATACCACGTGTTAATCTACAAGTTCGTATAATTAAAACACGCAATTATACTAACCTGAATTCTGATATTCATCGATATCTTCTTGATTCTCTTAGGTTCTACACGCACGCTCAATAGTAAAACTCTTTTAATATTTTATTCATTTGTACTCAATGAGTATTACGTAGCGCAAAACACTTAATGAGACAGCTCATCATAATCATTATTAACCTATACCTTTCTTAATGAAGCTTAAATATATCGAGCAATCCCTAACTTCGATCTCCTGTTTTCACTAACCTTACAAGTGCCGTAGATGTTTAGTTAAAATTCTTACTAATTAAATTTCGAAGCATTCTCAAAGTCACCACGAAATCAAGAGCTCGTTTTAAAGTGTTTTTAAAATGACTTAAAACGTACTTTAAATATTTTTTCAAAATTCACTTGTTTTTTTATTAATAATTGATTCCAAAAACTCTTTTAATCATTAAAAAAAAAGGAGTTTTAACGAAAAGTTCGTGGTACTGTTTACTTTAACGAAAAACCACATTTTTATACTAAAAAGTCAATTCTGATACTATTCACTCTACCATTTATTTTATCTTATCGTTAAAACTTAAAATTTTTAAATCTTTTTCATTAGTTTTCCTTAAAAAAAACACACTTCTAGACGAATCTAAAGCGGCAGGCAACTGCACTTGTATTCAAATCCAAATTTAATTAGTATGGTCCATGCACACGTGGCTAATTAAGCAATAAAATGGGTTCCCAATTTCTAGTCACTCTCATCCCAAGTGTTGACGTGGGGGCGACGACACGTACACGTTGACCTTCTTATACAGATATGCAGATTGCAGAATCCCACGTCCGTCCATCGAGCTGTATATAATATTTCAGGGGACGTTGATGTATGCCTTGATTATTCTTCATCACGTTGACGTCTTCCAGCGGCTTACATTTGGATTACACAATATTTGGCATGCCTAACGTATCTAATATTAAAATAATTTTGTTAAAGAACCTAACTCAATTGATTAAGTACTTTAAACTTAACCTAGCAATCATAATGTCGGTTTGTATTGATGACTTAATATGATTTAACTTTTTTTTTTTAATATCTTTATATAATGATTAAGAAAATTAATCATTCTCCTTATGATATGTGTGAGTAGCGAAATTTTTTTTTCTTAAAGGAAATCAGCTAGTGGCTTCATCACGGCTATCCATTCTTTCGGGGTTCTGGAAGATCCACAAAAGTATTCTAGCCTTCTCTGACCACCATCGTGCGATTCATCAACGACAAAAATTGAATTCAGGACGTGCCGTGTAGAATACAGGTCTGAAATTCGCCCCCAACCATTGGGCCACTCTGTGATGATTTGAATGGTGAAAATTTGTTAATTGCAACTAAGAAAGCATCGAGCTGTACTATTTTGAGTGAACGCAAGTATTTTGGATATAATTAAAGCTTTTCAACCGAAATAGTTCCTGT